TAAATGATGTGCTAAAATATATAATCTTTTGGAACTAAGCTGGCAAAATAAATATGATGGTCAATTAAATTATAAAACAAACGTAAAGTTCTCCTTTTGCATTTCACGTGTATTTATTTATTGGTCCATTTATATAGGTCTTCCATATAAACAAATGTAATCTTTAAGACAATTTGACTTGCTGTAAAACAGCTAATATCCATTTATTTTCTCTGTATACTGTAGTCATCTTTGTTTAATCAACAATGATCTTAAAATCACATCCTAACACATTGCTTTATTAAATGAGTGTGACTGTAACCTAAATGGCTCATTCTAACCAGCTATAATTTCTCAAACAAAATAGGAAAAGAAATATTTGAGTTATAAAAGATTTTTGCAGTTTTAGATGTCTAAATATTGTGTATTCATGGTTTGCTAATGTGCTTCATCACTCCAGTCCAGCCTGTTGATCAAATGAACAAATGATTTTGTGAATCTGATGCATAATCTGCAGTGTTTATGGCATAATTTGACGGCAAAGGACTAGTTAAGTGACCCACTGCCAAAAAAAAATACAACGGCTCTTGTATTTTTTTTAATCTGCATTACCAGCGTCTTAGAAGTTTAATTTCTTAACTTTGAAGAACAAACAAGCCAAAGTGCACAACCCACTGTTCCGTGTCAGAATAAAGCTGAGAGTTTTAGAAAAGTGACAACTGACTGTACAGCATCTCTAATCTCCTGTCATAAGTTGTTGTAAGATTTTAAATAAATGCCTCATCTAGATCGACTTTAAACATATTAAATCCATATCAGTCTGTGTTTTAACTGTCTGTTGTTTTATGTTTGTAGCCTCTGCATGGTTATGTCTGTTTTAAAGCAACACCCATCATATTTGGAGATCTTTACGTTATTTATTTTCTTTATTTTTATGTTTTAATCTATTTTTACACCGAAGGAACTCATTTTATTTTGTAAGGATTCATTTAAAGCAGATAACATGCACAAGTGTTACTGTATAAAGTAATTTTCAGTTTTTAATCGTTTAAAAGTCCAACATAGGAAAAAAAATACATATTTAAATATCACTTTTTTAAATCTTTTGTTGTTGATGTTTTCTGATAAATGTTATTGTCTGAAAAGTGTCTGTTCAAAGAGTTATTTAGTATTAAGCGTATTAATTCTGGCTACTAAATGTGAAGTCAGAAGGGTTTATTTTGGGGGGCCTTTTTTCTTTGGAATAATCTATGTTTTTGTTTTTGTTTACCTGTGGGACACAGGTGTGTTTATGTTGGTACCTAACATGTTACAAACATGGTTGCTTTTTCTCTTCTGTGAAGCTGTTGTCTGTATAAAACTGTAAACTTTATCTCTTGTAAAGTGACGTTCTGTGATGTAATAACACTGTCAAGTGTTCTCTTTTACAGACTTTCTTTTGACAAACATTTTGCTTCCTTAATGACTGTACTGGACTCCTAAAATCTCCACCTTGGATGGACAAGTCTTCCCTTGTTCACATCTTTTGATTCATTTGTAAATACAACGTTTCTGTGCAGCTACATAGTCGTAAAGCCCTCTATCAAACTAAAATGGACCGGACTGGATGCTGGACGGGGGATGGGGTTTGAAGCGCCTCGTTTGGATTTAAAGAGAGA